GACAATTTTTACCTGACTGAAATGATTTGATGGACAAGAGAGATACTCATTTCAGTGAAATGGACAAGTTTTGACATTTTTATTAAACTAACATGTAAATGACAGATACATCACTATCAAAAATTGAAAAGTGCAAGTCGTAAATTTCAATTAGCTGTTTTAGATGATGATGGAAACAGGGTCTTTCCTTGAGTAGTTCTTACATTGTGTAATGCCCAAATCAAACATCCCTGTCGTAAATTTCAGGTGTCACAAAGCCAAATGTGTGACAGAGCATGGGGATGCCATAGAGTCTCCCTTATTACATGCAACATAAACCCTGATTAGCAATTGTCCAGGCCATCTCCGGCCAATCTTTATGACATCAATAATGCACTGACAAGCTGACCGACACTGACCGTCAAAACAAACACAGTTACCCGTACAATACCCGCCATTTAGCCACCTAGGGTAAATGCAGTGAACTGTGGCTACCCTGTGTCCACTGGTGTGACCACTCGATACAAGTGCCATCCCTTTGTCCCCCTCTGTGCTCCCTAATTGATGACCAGCCACCCACCCCTATTGTACACTCACTGGACACTGGGCAGCTGATCATCGGATCACTATCCTGCAATTACACTCCAGAGCTTATGAAAGGAGAAACTGCAATTTTCTGGATCTAATTTCAAATCTAGGTTGTGTTTGGAATTAAATATGCAGATTAAATGTGACTGATTGACGTATGAAGACAATGATGCCAGTGAGCTGTGCTATATTGAATTTGGAATTGCTTTCACTAGATGAATGTCTTTTTTGTCTATGAGAAATCTAATCAGTTTGGAAACAAATCTTGCTTCAATTTAGTATTTATCGGTAGTTTTAATAATTTTCATCTTATTGAATCATACCCAGACTTTGTCAATTTCATGTAACCTACTTCAATATGAGGCTTATTTCATTGATGAAGTACATAGTCTTGGTGTACTGGTGGTGTATCAAAGGCCACCTACATCAACTGCCTAGCCAGGAAACACAGAGGTAGCTATCCCTCAGTGGACAAGACCTGGGTTGGGGGTGGGGTCAGGCTGATTACAGGGGTGGCAAGTACATCATGTCCTGTGGGGGACTCAGCTGGGGGTAGTGCCCCAGTAGCTGTTGTGTCAGTCACTCACCACACTAAGTGTCCATGTCCAGCTCCCCACACCAAACAAACATCCCATTTCTTCAGCTGTGGGGCACATTCATTGTTTTCACAGATGTAATGAAACCTTCTCCCTCTCAGAGAGAGTTTCCGTAATTGTGTTTAATTTCTATAATTATTTACCACTTAGTGTTATTAATCAGCAGTCATCACTACCAGACAACTTATGTCACTTTTGAATAAAACTGATCGTTGTTTACATGGAGATCAAGACACTTTGCACGTCAGTATTTCTTTATAGATGTTAGATTATGAATTCCACTGCCCTAATTGATGAGACGTCATTATGACAGATGGATTCTATTTTGGTTAATGCTGGTTTAGATATAAAATTACTATCTACAGTCTCCAAGATGCTTTCATTATATTTCAAATAAACCAGAATGTTAGCCAGCATAGCTTCACCGTTGTACACATAAGTGATATTTCTAAAAACTTCCCTTTAATTCCGTCTACAGTTTAATGCCCCACTGTGTAGCATGATGAACTGAGATGAGCCCAGGCACCAGTCAGTTTCTACATCTTGCAGCTCCGTTTGAAAACTCTGGCAATGACCTAGAAATTGGGATGAAAATAAACAGACTTAAGTCTTTTGAAAAAGGGAAACATTTTTGTTTTGTCGTACCTTCTATCTGGTTAGGGGAAGTATTTTTGGAAGGATTTAGATTGATAATGTTTTATCTCACTGTAAATACTATTTTGAGACATATTGTATTTTTGGTAAAGCTGTTAAAATAACTATTTGAAATCTAGCCAGAGTATAGCAGATTTTTGTGGGTGCTGAAGCTGCGGCAGCTGAATTGTGTCAGGTGATGTACGTTACACTCCAGGTATTATCATACTCAGCACTGGAATGTTGTTAATTGCTAATTGACAAGAAATTGACATTCGTAACCAAAACACACTTCAAACTCTGTCATGTTTCAATAATAAATGCATGCATGCTCAGGAAAATAACCACACATTATTTTGAGAAAGTGATATGTGCTAATTTCCCAACACCTGTTTGTTAGCTCGGGGAAATTTTTCATTTCTACAATCATGTTAGTTTGCATTTTTTGTCTCTATAAATATTTCAAACAAATGTGACAATTTGATTTTTATATAGGTTATCTGTCTTAAGATAATTAGTTTAGTTTTTCAACTTGCAACATTAGTCTTATAGGTATCAAGGGCTTCTATTGTTTGTTTCCTGTTTGTTTTTTAGATAAGCTCGATTCAGTGGTTTCAAGATGTACTTGGCCAACTTAATTTAGCTCTATTTACATCATGCTCAAGGAAGACGTTACTTGTCTATAATGAAGAGAAATGGTTGTCCATAGTTGTCTATAGCTGATTTCTGGAGTGAAGGAAAATTGTTCTCTGCCAAAAAGTATTTTTAGTGGAAGGTCTAAATATACAATGATGCCAGGGTATATTATAGAGTGATGTACGAGGCAGGGTATTTTAGGCTGTTTTCTTTGTTTATAAGAGTGTTTTGCTGTGCACATATTTTGAAAGCTTGTGACTAGATGTAAATGTCATGTTAATTTTGGTGTTGCTAGTTTCACTGTTGTGTGACAGTTTACATTAAGGAGAGAATAAATCACTTCTTGCCCGTGATAAGCAGTTTGGTCACCATCCAGAAAGATAAACACACATATAATATTGCCAAATTACTAAAAATAAATAATATTCCCAGACATCATAATTATTACGAATAAACAAAATTTGTCTGGGCCATCTTAGACACATAATATGACAATAATATTATCAGCGATCTTGACAGGCGCAAGTGAGATTAGAAACATACATCATTTTGTTGAATATTTTATATCATGTTAAGCTCCAATCAGTAATCAAATTGGTTAGTTTGTTACCATTAGGTTAGAGAATCATAAAATACACAATCAGTTTCAGATACTGCATTATTGCATAATTTGGAATTATTCATAATGCTTTTTAGTAAATTGAGAAGTCTACAAAAGTATCAACTCAATGTTACAAAGGAAATAAGATCTTAGTAATCCTCCGTGCATAAGCAAGTCTCTGGCTTCCCTGTCGTGGGAGTTGTTTGCCTAAGTTGGCAAAGTACACAATACAACTGACTTTGTGATTGGGCGGTCCCGCCTCTATAAATTGTGAAAACATGGGGTATTTACCCTTTGTGTGCATAGTAGGGTCAATGTCGCCGAGGTAACTGAATTAGGAAAGTGCCACAATGAAAACTGAATAGCCGTGTTTTGCAGAATTGTCCTCCATGTAGTCTAAGTATACACAGAAATTCAGCAAATCGGTATCCAGTTTCCAACTATGTTTGGATAAAAACCAATTTGTTTACCATTCAGTATTTGTTATTTTTTAAATCCAGATTATTTTCTTTAATGTTTGAATAACATTTATTTGGTTTCACAGCTTTTTTTTGGCAAACTGAAAAAAATATTTTTGGATATTGAATATTTTAATGGAAACATATTTTGTAAGGTCATAGCTTTAGCTGTGTCGTTGCTGCCGAGGGATTCGATATGGAAATGATAATCATGTTATGATAATCGTTTTCTCAAACATAGAATAACGAATATGCAAAAGAGAAAAATTGTGAATTGATTATGATGGTCTTGACCTGCTTCTCAGTTGTAATGAACAAAAAAATCTGATTGGAAATCATGTCACTCCCAAAATCCCGCGAGACGTGATCATTTCTGTCAGCTCGCCTTGATCTGACTGGCCGACAAAACTTTGGCGAAAATTGAGGTCTCAAGTCATCACAACAATGGAAGTCTGACCCTGAGTCAGAGCAAAATACTGCATTGTTTTCATCTTTAAAATGTTTAACGAGATGGGAGTAAAAAGGGACGTGACATTTGGCCACCCCCCTCGCCAGCCCCCTATCTCCCAAATCAACCCCGAACAGTCCCTGTATTTCCTGTCCGTGGTTGCTGGAAGTGCTTGATGGCCCGTGGTTGTAATTTTAGCAAACTGCCACATGACCTTTCAGTGCTATTACGACTTGGTCCATAATCACGTTGGTATATTGTTTGTGCGCCATCACACCCCACTGGCATTTAACACCTTATTGTATGACAGTTTCAAGGATATACGAAATGGCCATTCTTAATGAGTCCACATTACACCCAAATTGTAAAAATATTTTATATGGTATTCTAATGTCACTGTATGGCAAGAAATTGGATCCAGTTTTGAAATGCTTGAATTGGTTTTACATTTATAGGCTATTTTTCAGGTTTTGTGCAACTGTGAATGTTGTTGAGTTTTGTTTGTGGATCCCATAAGAAAACGACATCTAACAGTGTGGCTTCTCTGTGCAGTTAAATACTGTTAAGTAGATGCTAACATTTAAGTAGGGTTTTATGATATTATATGTGTATTTATTCAAGCATATTTATTGCATTATTGGAGTGCAATGAAATCGAAATCCTGTATATTTGCTGTATATTCTGAGATAGAGTATTTCTAGTAACCCTGAGGCCACGAAATGAACAAAACATATAATATCAATCCTCAGTTTCCTTTTTTTCCACAATTGAAAATAAAATCTTTGCATATACTCCAGATGGTCGAGCCACGATAGAGACTGAACTTATTACTTATCTTCTGTTTAGTCGCCTCGTGATCGACACTGAAATAATATCCTTTCTAAACACATTTTGTTATGTGAACTCACTCCCATGGAAGATTTGAGTTCACAGTTTAAAGAGTCTTCCCCAAATCAAACAAATATTTTCCGAGGTAGGAGAATGTTACTCAATTAAATGGCAAGTGGGTAAACGCAGGTTTATTTTGACTGTGTTAATGACGTGGCATCTTTTGGTTGCAGCATCCCTACCCTTCAGAAGAACAGAAGAAGCAGCTAGCTCAAGACACTGGTCTGACGATACTACAAGTAAACAATTGGTAAGTGCCCTCAATGCAACCTTCCCCAGACTTGCCTCAACTTTAAGACCATTCTTGGAGATTCTTTGGGGCACGGAAAAGCTAGGAGACCCTCCAAATCATCTCAATGATGTCACCACTGCAAGGTGAAGCCCCACTAATGAGGTGGACGACTATATTCTCCCCGCTAGACGAACTACTTGAGAGGGAGGCCAAGTCTGTGGCTCCATTTGTCTAATTAGAGTTACGCAGTTTTACAATCCACCAAGATAATGGACATATAAAAATGGATGCTGGTTTACTGGCTTGTCATATCTTCCTGGAGGAATTTGAGACCATGTCTGCTGCACGACCGCCTCCACTGATTAAGGGGGATGTTTTTTAAGTGAGACGTTTTTGTTCCGCCTTTGTCGTTTTGAGGAAAAAATGTAAAACTTTACTACTTTTTTCCCAAGCCCAAACTGTTGAGTCCAACCTACCCATCATTAAGTTACAAACTGTCATTCTCTTGGGAGGGGGCAGTAAGTAGTGGCGTTCTTGTGTTTGTGTAGCAGGTATATTTGTGCTTCTTGATCGCTGATTGGCTGGAGGTATTTTATGAGGATATAAAATATTACAACGTCTCGTAACCAATCGGCTTAATATGCCCAACGTTTTGGGTTTATAATTTATAGATGGGTTTTCGACATGTCCATTTAATATCAGGTTCATGATGAGAGGCAAACAGGAATTCGCGGAAGTTTTAAGTCAAGATGGTCATGTGATCGGTTTCCCAGCTGACCTTGGAATGGGAGGGTTAATTGTTCCTGTAAAAGTAGCTCAACATTGCATTATGATAGCCTTGCAAGATTGCTATTAGTTTTGACTTGCCAGCTTGCAAATATTTTATCACTGCATATATCAAATTAGGACATTATTTATATACAAGCAGGTTATTGTTCTACACAAACTTATTTTGTCCATGATCTAAATTCAAGCAATGCTTTTGTCATACTGTAAGGGCCTAATCAGGTTGGTAAGGGTCAAAGGTTAATTCAGGAAGGTGCTCAGGGTCAAAGGTAAATATCATTTGCACTTCACAGTTTGAAATATTTCCCAGTGATGAAAAACGAGATAAAATGTGGGCGAGCAACTGAAATACTGTTTGTACACAATAATATGCCCCAGACAAGATTATGCAGGTGTAGATTTCTGAAATCTTGTTAAGTGATATTTTATCGGAAATGTGTTGATAGGTGACTTGGTGGGAGGGCAAGGACATCCTTCTTGCCCACAATACTCGGGAAATGATAAACGCCATCAAGTACGATTGGTACTCATGTTATCACCAAATCCTCACAAGCATAAATCTGTGTTACACAATGGCTGCACACACGATATTGTGCTCTGATTTGACAAGGTAGTATCACTGGATGTGAATTCAGGTAAGCAGAGGTCAAGCCAGAGTGACACATGTTGAAAGGTACAAAGGTCGACGTGGGTGACAGTGATTAGGTACACGTAACTTGCGATGTGGAGGACCAAGCACGGTGCTTTAATGTGCTATACGTCAGGTTCCGGAACTCTTGGTTCATTCAGTACATAATTTCAAAGACGTGGGCTTTCATTTTTAGGCTTGTTCATTTCATGGTTTGAGATGTTAGTTTCAGGAAGTTGTCAATTTCAGAAATTAGTATGTATATTTCACATCAGCATGTGTTAATTTGGCATATTAAGATGGTTTAGTTGTAGGATTTGATTAATTTGTGCAGTATGATGGCAAGCGCGAGTGTGTAGGAGACAGCGGTAGTTCTGTTTCCGTGGTGATCCAGGGATACTTTGTCAGTCTTATCTGGATCAGTGAGATTTACTCTGATATATTTGATGTAGGTAGCTGTCAGTCATTCTCGCTAGGGAGAGCACAGCCAACACACTGGGATCAGGGTTAATTGTCACCAATGCTCTCATTCCAAGGAGCAGCGGTTGCTTCGCTGGACTGAAATGAGACTAACTAGCCAGTTTGACAAATCATTCCAATCTAGTAGAAACATTTATATCAATTAATGATCTCACTTGCAATTTATAACTGTTTGGTTAATATTAGTCATCATTTCAAGGAAAACAGACATCTTAAGTTTTTAGGGACATAATGAAAATCTTCAATAAATAACACGCCAGTATTAATTCAGGGGAATTAAGCTGGAAGAAAAAAACTAGTTGGAAGGTGTGTTTGTTGGGATTGTTATCTACATGGTAATTATAGGCAATGCTTCGCACACGTGGCTGTGTAGTTGGCAAGGCTCCCATATGAGAGCAAGCCAATAGAGATTTGTATTGAATACTGCCTGTTCTGTCGTTCATGTCTTTGGCTTTCTGGAGAAATACCCCTTGAGCATTTCTTCCACAGTGCAATTGACAAGGTCAAAATATTTTGGCATAACTCTTTTAACTGTGGAGCCACAGGGACCCACAGGGTTTGTTAGTCTTTGAACCAAACCTGGCACAGGGAATTTGCCTTGCTGCAAATCATTGGTCTAACATTTCAATTACAGCCAATCTTCTTGGGATTGTTTACTGCACTGTAGATTCTCCTTGCATGGGTGCAATACATGTGTGTTACGGTATATTTACATTGTCAATTTCACACATACAGTTTTGCCGTTATGATGCTCATTTCTCAAAATTGATTCCGAAATTGACAGCTCTGTTTATGATGGAAGTTATCAAGAAATAATAATCTACAAGATTTATGGAGAATATAATGAATTACTTATAGAATTTGTTTTGATAAAATCACAGCTTATTGCAAGTAATGAAAATAATTTGTGGAAATATTGGTTGTATGTAAACAGTGGTCTGTCTACATTATCTATAGGAAACACTGACTTCTTTTACCATGGAATTCCAGGAATGTTTATGGCTTATCTGAAGAGGGGGAAATTATCTTACTGGCTACAGTGGCCATTATGATTTTGGCACTCTTTGTTGGCATTTACTCTTGTCGACTAACAGGCCAGGAGATTGCATTCAAGGGAGACAAATTATATGAGATTAGGTATACTTGACCTTAAGGAAATTTAAAATGTAGCCAAAAAATGGTTCATGTTAAGTTTCAAGTTTTATACAGTCCTTGAATTGTGATGTTATCGGTCCATGTATATTTCACTTGAAATTGACATGACTGCACCGACATGCAGGCTAGTCATTTGCATGTTATGTGTTAGTGATGATGTATGTTTCAGCCTTGTCTGTCCCCATGCTGATAGCTGTTAACTGATAACAATCTCCATTTCGAGTTATGTAGCTGGACAAAGGAATCATCTTGTGTGTAGAAGGACTTTTAAAAGTTTTAAAATTGAGGTTCTTATAAGAAAAGAAAGCAGGCTAACCAAGAAATCATTGACCCTTCACAGAGACCAGCACTCTTTTCTGCTTGGCTCGCCAGCGTGTAAGCATGGTATATAGAGGTGAATATGAAGACTATCTTAGCTTATATCTGTGATCCCTGTATCTTCTAATAGTGCCCCACCATCGGAGCAGCAAGCTTGCTCTCTCAAATGTAGGAACACTCACAATGGATGACGGCAAAATCACAAAAAAAAGAGCATCAGCCAGTTTAGGCTTTGTTAGCTGTGAATTCATTGAAGGAACTAACAATGCTGCGCGCCCGGGTGGAAAGATTGCTTCGGGCTTCGTCTTTTGTGAGCATCTGGGTAGCCCGTTGCCAATTCGGAGGGGTCCTCTATCAAAATGCATCTTTTCGCCAAAACGGAATCATTTAGATAAAGCTGGTCTCAAGGAATGTATGTCAATTTCGCTGGAAGGGTTGTATTTCTCCTGTATATCTTTGTCGATATCAGCACTGTTTTTTGGTACATATCTCCAGGCGTTTGGGTCAGTTTCACATTCCTCTACAATTTGTGTGTCCATTAGGCTCTTGACCTATTTATTCATGAGTTGATACCTCAATTATCTCCCTGTATGACCCCACCCTTGACAAGTAACCCCACCACATCCACTAGCCACCCACCCTGGTGCACATTTTATTCCCATTACATGTAGCAAGTCGAAATGATTCAGTTACATTCAGTCTCTTATATCACAAATCCTTTATCCAGAGTCACAGTTTATTCATTTAACTGTGTTTTAATGGAATTTCAAACATTGCTGTGAAATGTCAAATAACAGCCAGCCTTATAAATTGCACTATGATGTCTCCTCAGCTCACAGCATGGTCACAAGATGCTTTATTTAATTTAAGGAGGAAATTCTCGTTTACACACTAATATACATGATATGTTTTAAAGGTCATAAAAGTCATCGTCATTTCTCCCAGCAACCACTCCTAAATTTCATTTATTGAATCGTGAAAACTTAAAATGCAGTTTATGGGCTAGTTTCTCTGCACCAGATAAAACCCTGTCCTTCAGCTCATGTGATGAAATGTTGGCTGGCCCGAACTGGCCGGCACACCACTAGGTGGCAAAGCTCTGCGTTTACTTATCTTATCTTATCACCATGCATTATGGGGAGCAGGCCTGCTAAAGGCTCCAATAAGCAGTTAGATTGATTCGATTTTCGTTTCACATGCAACCTCACAACACCCTGTGGATTTTGAAAACTCTTGGAGTGTTAAGACTGTCTGCGTGGCTGGAACAAGAGGGGCTAATTCTTCCTGATCAAGGGGGTTAAGTACAAGTGAGAGGTCCAACTTGCAACTGGGTGAAAGCCAATTAAATCTGCTCTAGAGAATCGTTTGTCACAGACTTACAATTTTTCCTCAGGAGGTCCTCCCGTACCTCGCCCTTGCTTAAACTAATGGTGTGGGGATGCCATGCTGACTTACATATATTTATTTCAATTATAGTCAACCCATCACTTCTCCCTGCCTGTAGTGTTTAAAAGCCACATAGGTAACTCCAAGTAGAGAGCTCATTGCTGCCATCGAGGAGTTAATTACTGGTAAGATAGTTCCAAAATGTTTATCACCAGTTCTTACCTCAAATGACATCGCATTAGATTAGAACAGGCAGCATAAGTAA